ATCAGGACAAGGGGGGGGCAGAGAGGGTGGGAGTGAAAGAGGGCACAGAACAGAGGAGGAGTGGCAACGGTAGAGGGTTGGTGGCGGATTAGTTGGGGGCGGAAGGCTTAAGGAGCGGTCAGGGTGGGCGTGCATTGATCAGGCAATTGGGGGCGGATCCCTGAAACACAAGAAAATTGGTCGGAGTAGGCGGTAGGGGGGGGGGTGGAGGGGGGGGGGGGGGTGGAGGGGTTGGGGTCATAGGGGAGGGGGAGCGATGAGAGCGGTGAGAGGGGAATGAATCCTTGAAACAGCAGAGATTGGGAGTGGGCGGAGGGAGGGGAGGGGGATTGTGGGGCGTGGGGGGGGGGGGGGGGTAGAGGAGGTGTGGAGAAAAAGTGGCGGAGGGCGCAGGAGGTGAGACGGCTGCGTAGACAGTCGGTGTAGAAATACTCTTACGAGTGCCCGCAGTGTCAAGCGAAGTTCGCATCAACCACGCGGGACGGAAGCATCGACAACCGACGGAAATGTGGACACCAGTTCATGGTTTCTGCAGGCGAAGTCGTGGCGGCTCCCTTGGCAGCTAGACGCTATTCGTACGAGTGCCCGCAGTGCAAGGCAACGGCGGAATCAACCACGCGAGACAGACGCATCAACAACCCAGGCGAAGTCGTGGCGGCTCCCTTGGCAGCCAGAAGCTATTCCTACGGGTGCCCACAGTGCAAGGCAACAGTCGAATCAACCACGCGAGACGGCCGCATCAACAACCCGCGGAAATGTGGACACCAATTCACCGTCGCTGCAGGCGAAGTCGTGGCGGCTCCCTTGGCAGCTAGACACTATTCGTACGAGTGCCCACAGTGCAAGGCAACGGTCGAATCAACCGCGCGAGACGGACGCATCAACAACCGGCGGAAATGTGGACACCAATTCACTGTCGCTGCAGGCGAAGTCGTGGGGGAGAGGGTGATGAGAGCTGTGAGAGCAGGGGAGCGGCCAGGGCGGACGTAGACTACAGGGGGAGGGATGGGGGGTGGAGGGGTGGGGGATGGGTAAGCATGGGGGAGAGTGGGTGGGAGGGGCAGAAAGGGTGAGGGCTAGCGTGAAGGTCTGGGTGGGAGGTGGGGGAGGGGCGGAGTCGATGCTCTCCGCCACCATGTGCCTCAGGGCTCCATTTATATGGTGGGGCATGCTCTCCACCATGTACATGTAAGCTCAGAGCTCCATTTACATGGCGGGGCATGCTCTCCCCGCCATGTAAATGAAGCTTTGAGCCAACATTTACATGGTGGGGAATGCTCTCCACCATGTAAATGTAAGCTCAGAGCTCCATTTACATGGTGGGGGGGGTAGGTAAGTGGGAAGTGGCTGGAGAGGAAGGGGCAGGGGAGGAGGATGAAGCAGAGCGAAAGAAGGCGGGAGGGGAGCGATTGGAATTTCGGGAGGGGTGGGGGAGAATTGGGGGCGGATCCTTGAAACGCAAGAAAGATGGGTCAGGAACGGAGTGGGGATACAGGAAGGGATGTAAGGGGGAGGGGAGCGGGATGGGTAAGTGGAGAGGTGGAGTGGAATGGTTGCGAAGGGTGGTGGAGGGAAAGGGGTTGGTGGTGGGAGGGTGATGGAGGAGGGTGGAGGATGGGTAAGCAGAGGGTGGGGAGGGGGTAGTGATGAGAGCAGTGAGAGGGGGGAGCAGAGGTGGAGTGGAATGGTTGGGTGTGTGGGTGGGTGGGTGGGTGGGGGGGTGTGGGTGGGGGGTGTGGGTGGGGGGGGTGTTGGGGGGGTGTTGGGTGGGGGGGTGTGTGTGGTGGGGGGGGTGTGGGGCCGATGGAAGGGGGGGCGGAGCAGGAAGGAGAGGAAGTGGGAGGGAGGAGGATGGGTAAGCAGAGGGTGAGGGGGTAATGCTGAGAGCGGTGAGAGACAGGGATGGGGGTAGGGGAGGAGGATGGGTAAGCAGGACAGGGAGAGTGAAAGAGGGCACAGATTGGTGGCGGATTAGGGACTTGGGGGGAGGGATTTGGGGGCGGATCCCAGAAACACAAGAAAATTGGTCGGAGTAGGCGGTAGGGGGGGTGGGGGAGGGGGGATGTCTCAAACACAAAAGATTGGTCAGGAACGGAGTGGGGATACAGGGATGGGGGATGGGTAAGTGGAGAGGGGCAGGGGGAGGGGTTGGTGGTGGGAGGGTGCTGGAGGAGGTGTGGAGAAAAAATGGCAGGGAGGAGGATGGGTAAGCAGAGGGTGGGGAGGGGGTAGTGATGAGAGTGGAGAGGTGGAGTGGAATGGTTGGGAAGGGGAAGGGTGGTGGGGAGGGGGGGCAGGGGAAGGGGTTGGTGGCCCAGTGGGTTCTGTTGTACAGTGGGAAGTGGCTGGAGAAAAAGTGGCAGGGGAGGAGGATGGGTAAGCAGAGGGTGGGGAGGGGGTAGTGATGAGAGCGGTGAGAGGGGGGAGCGGTCAGGGCAGGGATGGGGGGGGGGACACAAACGGAGGGTCTTCACTGACGCCGCCCCGCTGTTGCTGGCGTCGGCGGATAAGGAACGAGTTGTTTTTGTTTTCTCTGGGAAACGCGCAATCTCGAGTGTACACCTCGAAGCCCAGGAACGGGCAAGGATCGCGCAAGAGACCTACGAGGAGCAGCTTTGCCCCCCCTTCAGAGCGAGAAAGTCAGCTCCATGCCTCTCTCAAAGTGTGTCTCCAACAGCGTGTCTCTCAAACAAAGCAAAGAGTCTCAAACAACACAAAGAACTCTTTGTTCTCTTCAGGAGCTGGCGGAGCGGGTGGAGCAGGCGCAGATCGCCCGGGGACTCGGACGAACCGCGCGCAGGGAGGCTCTCTACTCTCTACTCGCTTGCTTCTTGCTTTTGGGCTTTCGCTTCTTTGCTTCTTCTTTTAACGAGACGCCCCCCCCAGACCCCCCCCCTCTCTCTTCTTTTCTTCTTTCTTTCTCCCTTGAAAGTACATGGGACTGCTCGCTTCGTCTTCCTGTTTTTTGCTCTTCTCTCTCTCGCTCTCTCTGTCAGAATTCTCTTCCACCCACACACACACACACCTACCCCACCGCTTCTTCTGCAGAGAGCCCCCCTTGTTTCTTGGGGATGTGGAGTCGAGGGCGAGTCGTGTCAGTCAAAAGAAGAGGATGAGCTCTTGAAAGAGTCTTTTGACGTAGAGTGAAAGAAGTCAGAGGGCCCGGAGCTTGTGCAGGGCTCTCGCTTTGTTCAAAGAGAGCTTTCTTCCAAGAGTTACAAGAAAGCAGAGAAGGAGGAAATGTATGAGAAAGTGCACCCAACATTCGCTGAGAGACTGCAACTGGGCCAACGAAAAAGGCGAAGAAAAAGAGCTCACTTAGAGTCAACAGAGCAATTTTGGACCTGAAGGATGCTCTCAAAAAGCTATGCTGTTGCGCTCTCAGCTCTTCTCTCTCAGCTCTTCTCTGGGTAACCGTAGTAAAGCGGGTGACACTCTCGCAAACAAGCTGTTTTTTATGCGAGGTATGCCTCTGAGCATGTCTGCACGGCTTTGCACTCCCCCCCGCCCCCTCGAGCATCTAAGTCGGCGCCGGGTGGATTGTTGTACGCCTGATGACGCCTGCAAGGGCTCCGAAGATCCGATGCGCAGACGACGAGTCTGTGTTTCCAAGTTGATGCTTTGTTTCCGATTGTGTCCCCGGCTCGTGTTTTCTCTCGCCCAGTATAGTTCAATATAGCCAATTCACACTCTTCGACCCAGGAGAGGGACCTCGCGTTGGGGGGCAAGGACAGCCGTGAGGACAGCTGAGAAGCTTCAGACTCCGCAGCTCCATGCTCAGAGCTCTTACTTGTGCTTTCTATAAAAATTACTACAAATAATTGTTCTTTTGCAGCTTTTTGTGCCTTGGTGTGGCTTACGTGGAGGAGCTGGAGAAGCAGATCGAGGAGATGCGAGAAGGGCAGCGGAAGGTGCCCCTGAAGAATGGCGCAAACTTGAATGAATGAACATGTATTAACATTAATTAACATTATGAATAGAGAAAGCTGAAGAGAACACTGAAGCCGGGAAGAAGCTCTGATGAAGCCTTGCTCAGAATGATTGTGAGAAGTTTGCATTCCGCTCCTTCATGTCGAAGAAAAGTTGCGCCCGCTGAGTTGGAGCTGGAGCTGGCGGAGTCCCGGGCCAGGGAGGCCCCGCGAGCTCCAGCGCTCTCCCGTGCTCTCCTGCGCTCTCTCCTTCTTCCTTTCCTTCTCGCGCGCCCTTCTTAGAGACTTGCAACGTTTTGCGCTCTTAACACACGCTCACGCGGTTCTGTTGCTTGCTTTGTTTCACTCGCTCTCCCTCTCTCTCTCTCTCTCCCCCTCTCTCAGTTTCTTCTCTCCAGCCTTCAGGCCGAACGGGCAGGGGAGCTGAAGGAGAAAGAGGCAGAACTCATCACCGTCCGAAGGGAGAAGGCGTGATGGGGAAAGAGAGCGGGCACAGAGATTTGACAGCTTTCAGAGTTTCCCCGTTTCCCCCCATAGTTTTCATATGTTTTCATACCAGGTCATACCAGTTTCAGAGTCACGGCGCCGTGCGGCGCTTGATGCGACGAGCGGTGTGCCGAGGTCGTGCTCACGAAGGAGCTCGCAGACGCCAAGAAGCGGGAGAAGGAGCTCGCGGCGCAAAGGGCCGAGAGACCAGAATCACGCAAATACCGCCCAAAGACCGCCCCAACACCTCAAGCAAAGCGTGGCTTCGGTGCTTTCGGTGCTTCGTGCTCGATGCGTGAGGCTGTTGGAGCAAGCACAGCAGCATATCCTGGAGCTCACCAGCGTCCGCCCGGCTGCTGCTGTTTGCAACTTCTGTACTCAACCGCAGTGGTTTGTTGTGGCTTTTATCTTTGCGAACAGACGGATTCCCTGTGCCTGAGAATCGTAATTGCGCGACAGCCAATTCCCAGATGCTCCCCCATTTGCAGAGCAGCAAGAAACAAGACACGCGCCCCACCCTGTGGCCAGAAGTCCAGCAATCGTTAGATCGCGAAAACGTCTTAACACTTTGCTATTTTGCAAGAAAGCAAAAGAAGGACACAATCAAATATGTGTAGCTGCGCTGAAGCTTGAGCACCAGGGAATGGGCCAAGCCCAATGAAGTTGTGCTTCTAGTAAGCAGCTCGCCCTTGGCCGGTGTGGGCCCGTGGCGGTGGCTCTCAAGTCTGTAGTTCGTAGTCCTTGTCGTCTTTACCAGGTTCTGCAGTGCTGGCTTTGGGGAGGGGTCGCCTTCGTTGGAGTTTGAGCTTAAGGCCGCTTTTTGGGGCCAGGCAAAATTCAATTTTGTCGAGAGGGTTTTCCGAAAATCTTTCTCGGCGAGGGTTGGGTGAAGGTTGGTGCCAATTCGGGGCAAAGGTGTGACAAGACTCGAAACAGGCTTGGAGGGCCCGGAGGATAAGCGCTTCCACCCCAAATCGCGCCCACTTGTCAACAACATTGTCTGCGCGCCATTACTCGTGCCCTCACCGGTCGAAAAAATGGGTCGTGGCAGGATGAAGCTGGTGAGATCCTGGCCGACCTGGACTTTGAGGCACGCAGCGGCAGCCCACTAGACTAGCCACTTTTCACACTCTTACCTTTGAGACTTTTAGAGAGGGCTCGCTCTCCCAGTTTCTTCCCAGTACCTCTGAGGCACTAGAGGCGCCAGGCCTGGGGCGTCGGTGACCAATTTTTAGTTTTCTCCGTTTGCAGGGCGTAGTCTGCGGCCCCTGTGCAGGCGCAGAGCTGGCTCCCCCGCCCCCGCCCCTTCCTCCTCCGCCTCCGAGTGGAGTCGGTGTCGCCGTCCCCAAAGCCAAAGCCAAAGCCAAAGCTAAAGCCACAGCCAAAGCCAAAGGCTCCCCGGCTTCTCCAAAGCCAGCGCCCCCGGCGCCGCCAGCGCCGCCCTCGCCTCCTCCGCGGGCAGCTGCGCCCCCAATGCCCCCGAAACCCCCAACAGCCCCAACACCCCCAACACCCCTATCGCCGCCACCTGGCCCACCGCCGATGCCGCCACCCCCTACCCCACTCAAGGCAACAACAGCAGCTTCTACGAGAGCTTCCACAGGCACCGCGACACCCCCACCCCCACCCCCACCTCCAAATCCCAAGCGCACACAAAAACCTCCCGCGCCTCCCAAAACCGCGCAGAAGTCGAAGGATCGGGAGCTTGGGCGCAGGTAGATGGCTTGCCATCTGGTTTCGCCATTCTGCAATGCTTAGACTCAGCTAGACGCCGAGCCATGCTTGTTGCCAGTGATTTGGCTATGAGCATAGCTGCTCTGCACAGCGGAGTTTCGACCTCATCGCAAGCAAAACGGTGCACGCATGAGTCGTAGTGGTGGTGGGAGAGTTGCTGTGCTGGTGGTTAGTGGTGGTTAGTAGTGGTTAGTAGTGGTTAGTAGTGGGTGGTTAGTAGTGGTTGGTTAGTAGTGGTTAGTAGTGGTTAGTAGTGGTTAGTAGTGGTTAGTACTGGTTAGTAGTGGTTAGTAGTGGTTAGTACTGGTTAGTACTGGTTAGTACTGGTTAGTACTGGTTAGTTGCTTAGTAGTGGTCAGAAGTGGTTAGTAGTGCTTAGTAGTGGTTAGTAGTGGTTAGTAGTAGTCAGAAGTGGTTAGTAGTGCATGACCACTACTTCTTCTTCTACTACTACTACTACTACTACTACTACTACTACTACTACTACTACTACTACTACTACTACCACCACCACCACCACCACCACCACCACCACCATCACTTCCACTTCCACTTCCACTTCCACTTCCACTACCACTACCACTACCACTACCACTACCACTACCACTACCACGACTACTACTACTACTACTACTACTACTACTACTACTACTACTACTACTACTACTACTACTACTACTACTACTACTACTACTACTGCTACTGCTACTGCTACTACTACTACTGCTACTGCTACTGCTACTACTACTACTACTACGACTACTACGACTACTACGACTACTACTACTACTACTACTACTACTACTACTACTACTACTAATACTACTACTACTACTACTACTACTACTACTACTACTACTACTACTACTACTACTACTACTACTACTACTACTACTACTATACTACTACTACTACTACTACTACTACTACTACTACTACTACTACTACTACTACTACTACTACTACTACTACTACTACTACTGCTACACGCGTTGGTAGGAGGCCCTGGGTACTTGTAATACATTCGCTTGTTGTCATCGTCCAAAAGTGAGCACCCTCTCGGTGTTTCGCGCGTTTGCCACCTAAAAGATAGATCATAGACGTAGGACTAAACTACTTTGGGGGCCATGGATTTGTGGTGTGTTTAGGATTCAAGACTCGGGGTTTTCTTGTTCCACATCCTTGTGCTGTATGTTGTACAAACAAGCGACAACGCTGTAAATACGAGCGTTTGGGGCAGAAAGCGCTGTAAATACCAGTGTTTTGGGCACGGTCACGAAAAGCATGGACGCTGGTAACAGATTTTCCTGTGTCACATCCTTGTGCAGTATGTTGTACACTGTCACGCAGCGCACATCATTGGATATGCTTCCACCACCATCCGAAGAGTTTGCAGAAGTACACTGCAGGCACAGGCATACGGCATGCAGGGCGCGGCAGAATCCGGTGACCGAATAAGGGCAATTCTATGCGAGTTGCGTGGTCAGTTACCTGTACTTAGGAACTGGCTGGAGGAGTCCCAGAAACATATGCGCCATGAATGGGTAAGTGATTGCCGCAGCCTCACCAACCATCTCGGCACATGCCAGGGCAACAAGGTTGCCGACAAACGTCTGGCCATTGAGCTAGAATCCATGCGGCAACAGCTTTGGTGCGGCGATGTCCGTACTTACGAGATCTACAAACCCCATGGCGATAAATTGAGATGGACAGACACAGCTACTCAGGTGGCTGATGCGCTGACGAAGAGCATGCGACCATTTCAGCTTTTCAGAGTCATGCAAGATGCAAGAAGGGAAGGTTGTCCCGAGTGATCCGAAGAAGAAGCTTCAGAAAGGTGAGCAACCCGAAGAAGACGGATGATGCAAGAAGCATTTGACTCAGCTATGAGAGCCGATTAATTAGGAATGTTTTTCGACTTGCTGGCTAGTAGTGACGCCCGAAATCGCGCACTAGTAGAGTGCCACATGTGGTATCACCTGCACGAACCACTGTACAGCACAGGCACGTGTCAATAGAGAAGACGGGTGAGAATATTGCCCCGATTATCAGCTTGAGCACGTGCCAGTAGTAGAACCATTTGTAGCAGAAGCTTGAAGCCGTAGCAAAGCATGAGCGTCTTTACCTGTGCCTGTACATGTCCCGCTGTACTTATGCTCGAAGGCGCCTTGAGCTAGAGGCAAAAAGTGAGCCTGGTGCGCGTCCGTACTCAAAAGGGCTCGGGTTGAGGGTTGAGGGTTTAGGGGGGTAGGGGTTTGCTGTTTAGGGTTTAGGGGTTGTAGGCTTTAGGGTTTTGGGTTTTAGGATTTAGGGGTTGCCACCAAGCAGCAACACAAAACAATACAAGAAAGAAGGCATGTTCTGATAGGAGTCTGTGTCCTATGACTTCTGCGTTAATACTGTACACCATACATGATGATTTCTTGAAACGACACTCTGCTTGTGGCTTGGGCTCCTGTAGACCTAAGCCGACATGTTGCAGACGATAAGGTAATCAAACTGGCTTCTTACTCACTCGCGAGGGTTTAGGGGTTGTAGATTTTAGGATTTAGGGTGTAGGGGTTGGAGGTTTTAGGGTTTTGGGGGTTTAGGGCATGGCTCTCTCAGACCGGGTTCAAAAGGGGTCTTAGGGTTTAGGGTTTAGGGGTTGCAGGGTTCCAAGGTTTAGGCGTTTTAGGGTTTAGTGTGAAACTGGAAGGGGCGGCATCGCTTTTTTTCTCCTCACAGAGCAGAAGAAACCTGTGTGCCTTGAGCCAAACAGCACGTTCGGCCATGCTAATCTTCTAGGTATCGTCACGGCAATGGCAACACTTCTCGATTTGTGCGTGCTCGAGCTGCTGACGCTCAGCATTCACCTTCTGGTTTCATACTTAGGGTTTAGAGCTGTTGTGATCCTGGCGCACGGGCACACATCGCGTATACGCACACTTGCGTCGCCAACTCCGGAGTTCGTGTCATGAAGTTGCTTGTCCTGTCAAGCCCTCCGGAGGCCTGAACCTCGGCAGGGGAGACATTTTTTGCCTTCCATCGCGAACTGGATGCCGCCAGCCAGTCGCATGTCGCTATGGGTTTCTAAAGCAATGGCGCGGGCAAACCACAAGTACTGGCCGTTACTAGTACTGGTGGTAGTAGCAGTAGTAGTGTAGTAGTAGTAGTAGTAGTAGTAGTAGTAGTAGTAGTAGTAGTAGTAGTAGTAGTAGTAGTAGTAGTAGTAGTAGTAGTAGCAGTAGTAGTCGTAGTCGTAGTCGTAGTAGTAGTAGTAGCAGTAGCAGTAGTAGCACACACGCTTGGAGAGTTGGTTGGAATTTCCGCTTGTCGCTGCTGGCCTCTGGGCTCGAACTTTTTGGGGGCTCTCCTTTCTCTTGAAGGGGGGGAAGAGAGTGGCTCTCTCACGACCCCTCGGGTGCCCGAGAGGTGGGGGACCCAAAAGCTGAGTGAAAGAGGGAGAGGGACATGGAGAGGGAGAGGGAGGCAGAGACAGGGAGATGGAGAGGGAGAGAGAGGGAGATGGAGAGAGAGAGACAGAGAGGGAGATGGAGAGGGAGAGGGCCTGAGATGGAGAGGGAGAGAGAGGGAAAGAGAAGGAGAGAGAGGGAGAGATTATGGCTTTTTCCAGGTCTTTGGGGTCGGAAAATATGCTTCTATGCACATGTTACTTCATGTGGATGCGGAAAGCGCTCGCGCTTAGTCTCACGGCCATTTGTGGCCCAGTGACGTTTGACCGAGAGCTGCTTCGGGGTAACACTTCCGGCAGAGAAAATTTGATAAGACCGACGAAACACAGCCCCGCAACCACGAAAAAGAACATCTGCCAACCTGAACACAACATCCCAACGTCAGTCTGAAGGTGAACACAGTGTGTACCAGGCCCACAAGGGCCACCATTCCGCTGCGGGGCGAAAGAGACCCCCAGACTCAGAGCGACTGCAACAGAGTGAATCACGGCACTCAAGAATCGTGCTCGTAGGTGCTCGTAGGTGCTCGTAGGTGCTCGTAGGTGTTCGTAGGTGCTCGGATAGAGGATGAGAAGCGCAGTGCGATCCTGTTGATCCTTTGCCGAGGGCCGACGGAGAATGACCAACGGCCGGGGACCTGGACAGGAGCTGGGAAGACACGGAATGAGGGAAGGCGGAGTGGAGAGAAGAGTTGTTCAGGACCTGTTGTCACAGCTGGTTCAGATTGGTTCATTGTGTTTTCTCTACTTCTTTGAAAGGTGCGAAGCCGCCGTCCACAGTGGCGAACGGCCGGTATCAGATTGAGAAGAAACTCGGTGCAGGCTGGGCAGCATTCAGGGAGGATGATTTTGAGTAGACAGTATTTCCCCCGCCACTTTTCAACTTCTTCTCTCTCTTTCCCCCCTTGTTTTGTCTCTGACCCATTCGCTGCCTGGAGGCTGCTTTGGCGAGGCCAGCGCTGAGGGCACACAGAAAAGTGAACAAAACGGCGGGGGCACAGTGAGAGACTTATATTGACACTTGTTGTTAAACTGAAGAGCAGAAGACTAAGAGAGAAGCTCTCTCTCTCTCTCTTTCTGTCCTTTCTTTTCTGAGTGCACCAAGTCCACACTGTCCACACTTAGCGTGGCGCGACGTTCTCTGAGAGGTTTGGCAAGGCAGGGACAAGCAAACCAACGAGAAGGTCGCCGTCAAGTTCGAGGACCCGCGAGAGACGGAGACTTTCTCTGAGACTGAATTTGATGGGAAAATCACTTCGTGTGCACTCTACGCACCTCTCTTCGGTTCGGAGAGGACTCCTCCGGCCACGCGCTGCAGCTCGAGCATGAGCAAGCAGTCTTGAAGCCGCTCGGCTCTTCCCTTTCCGGCTCCTTGCGGGAATCCGGGAGCATATCCGCAACAAGAATCTCTTCTCTCATGCAGCTCTCAGCACATCTGCAGCACATTCTTCTCAGTGTTCGCGCGAGGCTCATGGCTCAGCCACGTAGGCCTCAAGGCTTTGCGGAGCTCTTCTGGTGTGGACAGGAGGCACGTCGGCAAGCGAACAGGTTTTCCTCAGGGAAGCTCAGCCGCAAACAATTAAGCGCAAGAGAGAGCTTGTGCAAATCCAGCTCGAGTAGCAAGAGCGAAGTTCTTGAGCACTCCATTGAACAGGAGAGAAGAGAGAGAGTGAGATTGAGAATGTTGCACCTAGAGGAAACGCACGGAAACACCGGAAACACCGGAAACACTGGAAACACTTCAGAGCAGAGAGAAACAAAGAAAGCAGAGCGCTCCGCCGAGCTCTCTCCGCTCTCAGCTCAGCTTGCTCGCCTCTAAGCAGCTCCCCCGCAGAGCTCGCCCATGCCTCGCACTCTCTTCTGTGCCTTTTGTGTCCTTGTTTCTCCCCTTCTCTTGCAAGTGACGCATCTTCACATCTTCACGCTCAACTCTCGCTCTCCTGCGCCAGCAACGCTTCATGTGCCTCGTCATGGAGATGCTGGGCAAGTCCCTCGAGGCACGAGAGCAAAACGCGCGTGAGAACGCGCAAGAGAGACAGAGAGAGAGATTTGCTCTGAAGAAAGCAGCTATCTAGAAAAGTCCAACCTTAAGAATTCTGAGAGGGCGGCTTCTTGATGAGAGAGAGAGAGAGCGCCGAGCCCAGTTCGCTGGGGAGTTCGCTTGGAGTTCGCTCTTGCGAGGACCGACTACAAGGCCTCGGCGGTCAGGGCGGCCCCCCGCGCTTTAACAATCAGCCGGGGCGCCTACGCATTGGCCTACGCATTTGCGCGTTGCACAGTGTGAAATGAGAAGTCGCCACCCTTAAAATTGCTCTAAACTTCTAAACACAAACTCCTTGATCATCCAAAATCTTTGCAGGGCTTTGCAGGGCTTTGCAGGGCTTTGCAGAGCTTTGCAGAGCTTTGCAGAGCTTTGCAGAGCTTCGCAGAGCTTTGCAGAGCTTTGCAGAGCTCTACAGTTCGTTGCTCTGAGGACTGCGGTGCTCGTTGCCGACCAAGTGCTGCGGCGCATCGAGTACTTGCACTCCAAGGCGCACAACTCGCGCCTCTCGTGCGTGGCACTCTCTCTGCTCTGCAGGGCTCTGCGACGGAGCGACAGAGCGACAGAGCGACGGAGCGACAGAGCGACAGAGCGAGTTGCTAAGGAGAGCCCAAGTGGGCTCGTGTTGTGTTCTCTGCTTTCAGAGTCTCGTCTCTTCTGTCTCTTTCTCTTCTTTTCTCTCCGTTTTTTTTTTTTTTTGTGTTTGTTGTGGGGGGGGGGGGGGGAGAGTCCCCTTTTTTCAGAGTGTCTCAGCGAGGGCATCGTCCACCGCGACATCAAGCCCGAGAACTTCATGTTCGGGATCAAGAGCAGGGCCCGGAGCCGAGCGGAAGAAAAGAGAAGTCAGAGCTCCCTT